GCAGCAACCTGTAATCTCCTGTTGACGACCAGCTGTGCCTCCTATTAGTATTAATGGAAGTTACACAGCCATAATAAGAAGGAGGGGAAAATGCCACCTTATGCTTTTTGCACACCTTAACATTTTTACAGCAAGTCTGATTACAAGGGTTTACTTGAGCGCAATTAAACACTGATTGATTACTAAGTACAATTTGTATTCCAGGCAACATGCAAATGGCAATGAAATTCTCAGACAGGGAATGGAATAAATTCTTCTCACATCAGAGAGTGAATCACATTCTTTAAGCATAAAGTATTTTCTTATACGAAGAAAGGAGGCTCACCTATAAGGTTTTTTATAATATATTTTTATCCAAGACAATAAGCCTTGATTCGTTTTAGAAAGAATAAGTGATATGATTTTTGCAAATTGTACTTCCCACTTCACCTCCAGACTACAGTTTTCTTTCCATGATGGTAACCTATAAGGATGGGAAGCATAATATTCAGTCACAAATACACTGACTTTGGCTATAGTTGCAACTATAAACAATATTTTTTTCATCAGATTTTGCCATTGCAGAAATAATGTCTACTTTCAAATTGAAAGTGAAGTGAAAGGTTGATTTATTAAATGTCTATCATGTGCCAGACACTATTCTAGGTATGGGCAATACAGTAGAGAATAAAAAAGTCAACAGTCCTTGATCACAGTACTCATGATATGGAAGGAGAAGCTGACAATAAGCAAGTATACAAATACAGATATAATGTCACTGTGTATGCAGCAAAGAAATATATTCAGAAGAAAGAGAATGACATTGATATGTATGTTTGTCTATGCATGTTCGGGAGAAAATGACAGAAAGAGAGAATTGACAGCTTTATACTTGCTATTCCCTATGTGTAGAATATCCTGATGCAACATTGCTGAATGGTCACCTGTTCTGTATCATGTTGGTGTTAATCCAAGGGCAAAGAACTGAGAATTTGGTATATTGGACAAATGGTTAAGTCCAGAGTGGTTGAAGTGGCATGAACTGGAAAAGAAAGGGAGGGAATGAAATCAGAGATATAGGGATATTCAGAAAGGTCAGGCCTTATAGACCATTCTAAGGAATGTGGAATTTACTTAAGTTTCAATGAGAAGCCTTGATAGTTTTTTTTTAATTTTTATTTTATTTTTGAGAAACAGAGAGGGAGAGAGCATGAGAGGGGACAGAGGATCTAAAGCAGGCTTTCTGCTGACAGCAGAGAACCTGAATGCAGGGCTCGAACCCACAAACAAGGAGATCTTGACCCCAACAGAAGTCACTGCTTAACCGAGTCATCTAGGTACCCCTTGATAGGCTTTGAACAAGGGAGTATTATTATTTAGATAGGATTTTAACCACCCATCTAGTTGCTATATGTATGTTAAGGGATACATTATAAATGTGATCTACCTTGGAATATGTATTCTTCCTGAAAAACTGGCTGATGTATCACTGTTTTCACTTCTTTAAAAATTTTTTTTTACTGTTTTATTTAATTTTGAGACAGACAGAGACAGAGCATGAGTAGGGGAGGGACAGAGAGAGAGGAGTCACAGAATCCAAAGCAGGCTCCAGGCTCTGAGCTATCAGCACAGAGCCTGATGTGAGCCTTGAACCCAGGAACCTCTGAGATAATGACCTGAGCCGAATATGGATGCTTAACCAACTGAGCCAAGTGCCCCTGTTTTCACTTCTTGACAATGGAAGGTAAAAGAGAAACTGCAGTTAATATTCTTATAATCAGATGTGTTTAAAAATAAAAGCCAGAAATTGTTACTGCTTAATGTATTGTTATAAGTAGCAGAGAAAGCTGGAAGAAAAGTAAGGAAAGAGTGATATCTATAAAACAAAAAATTAGGAAAGACAGCTTGAGATCCTATTGTCCAGAAGCTTGCCTTTCTCTGGCAGGGATACATGGTTGTTTATGTCCTTTTTGCAGATTTCCAGGTATAAATGCTTAATATCTTACTTAGTAGTCAATGCTAATGTTTTATTACTTTGGTATAGAGGTTGTCTTTCTTATCTCCAATTAAACTGTCTCATAATTTATTAAGTCTATTTCCTGATCTGATGTCAAAATAGAAAACAATTGCTTGCTGTTACTATCAAAAAAAGTTTATATAAATATGAAAAAAATAAACTGAACTAGCTTTATCTTCTCTACATTAAATGATCTCAAATTCTTTCATCTATCTCTATTTTTATCACTTTAGCCACACTTTTCTTATTCTCAGAACAATCTATTTTCAAGTATAATTTACTTCTTGCATCAATGCATGATACGAGCTTTTTAGAAATTCATGTTATATGTTTAGCAATTTAGCTAAGTTCAAATGATGGGAGAAAGATGACACAGTATTTAACACATTATATTAGCATGAAAGTTTCTAATAGAGCTCATCATCTAGGCATGGATTTACTGTATGTACCAACCACAAATATATGTATTTACTTAGGATATAGTTGATACAGTCATATCTGTTTCTTATATGTAGTCATATATATGAAATGTTTCATATTATAGCACAGAAAAACCATGATAGAGATAATATGATTTCCCATACATCACGATTATTATAGGTCACAGACAGAATAGAATAGAATAGGATAGAATAGAATAGAATAGAATAGAATAGAATAGAATAGAATAGATAGAATAGATAGAATAGAATGGAAGATAGCTAGCTAGCTAGCTAGCTAGCTAGCTAGCTAGATAGACAGATTCTGTGGGGGATCACAGGCTACTACTATATTTAAGGCCGAATAACAACATAGAAGGTATATTGAGTGAAAGAGTCCTGGGCAGGCTCAGTTACCTACAAATCTTGTGAAAATATGGTTAATCTTACTAAGCCTGTCTTCCTTACATTGTGATAATTAACATCAAGTCTAATGCACTCTTTAGCAAAGTAGGAACTTTAAAAGTGTCATTCTCTATGAAGAAAACTAAAAATGCACTTTATAAATTACAATGCAGTTAATACAAACTAAATCCACAAATTTCTCATATTGTTTTAGTAATTCCTACAAAAAAATAGTCATCAGAAATTCCAATAAAATATATAAGAATGAATTTCTCTATGTTTAAATTCAGATTATTGTGATGATTAAATCAGAAATATTTGTGATGTCCTAGGTACACAATAGATGATCAACGAAGAGAGGTATTTTTATTAGCTCTAAGTAAAATTAACGATTAAGTATGCATGGTTCAACAGAGGACGCAACACAGCAATCAATGGTAGTTAAGGCTAGTACAGATGGGAAGGTGGCTCTGTCCATATACTCTAGTCATTCATTATCCAGCAACAACAAGTGTGGGCCAGGAAAATCTTTCCCTAAAACAATAGTGGATGCCAAGATCCTAACCGCTCAATACAATCTCTCAGAAAGAAACATTTGGTGGCCTTTAAATAGAAAGTATGATGCCAAAAGAATGATTTTGGTTCCATATTTTTTAATCTCCAAATTGCAAATAGTTGTGTTGAAAATGTTTATTGACTGAAAGAGGTATTATATTCTTTAGGGGGCCAAAGTCAATCCTGAAATATGTTAATGTTGTTATATCCTAATGGTGTTGCTGAGGGGGACAAAAAATATCAGAAAGCCCTTAAGAAACAAACTTTTGTGTGTGTGACACAGATGGCTGGAATAAATTATGGGCTCAATAAAAAGCAGTTCAATTTAGTTTTAAAATCCATTTGGACATTTATCAAAGATCACATTGTGAAATGTATTTGCGCTACTTGGAAGAGTCATACTAATCAGCATCCCCCACCCCTCCACCCTACCCCACCTTCCAAAAAAAGGAAAAGAAGAAGAAGAAGAAAAAAAAAAAAGAGTGGGAGTTCTTTCAATCGAAGCCTAAAAGAAGACTGTTGAAATTTATGAGTTCAGTGACGACAATAAACAGAGTAATAGACTGAAAAGTATACTGGGCAGATGTATACGTATATGCTGTATATATATGTGTATGTATATGTATATGCATATGTACATGTATATGTATATACATACACGTAGACACACACATAACATCCAATGGCATAAACATGTAATATATTAGTTTCTAAAAGAATGTTAAAATATTTTATGATTGGTTATTTTGCCTAAGATACAAACTACCAATCATTCCCTTGCACTCTGCAAATTGAATGCAAATATTAAAAAAAAGACAAAGAACATTTTCAATAGATGGAGAAGATAATGCTCAGAATACTTGAAAAAATTAAAATTTAATGAAACTCTGCATATGTTTAAGACATGAAATAAGGAAATGTAAAATATTTTCAAATTTATTGAAAATATTCTAAGTATTTTACATGGGTAATTATACTTACCAAACACTGCCAAGTGAGTTGCTAAGACAAGAATGAGAACAGAAAATATGTTTCAGAGTAAGCCTCTAGCTTAGAGTTTCTCTGATTGGCATACATAATAAATTTCAATTTTTAAACATCAGAAGATGCACTGAAGCAAGTGCTACTTGAAAAGTACACAGACGGCTGAGTTTTAGTTCATTTGTTTGCTCGATCAACATATATTAGAGCACACTTACGTATTTCCAGATATTATATAAACTGAAGGGTTCAAAGATCAATAAGATATAGTCCTTGCACTTGAACAATTCCTTTTAGTGGGGAGACAGATGCACAAATGCATAATATTCAATATTAAATGATTGTATAGAAGTATAAAAAATGCTAAGGTATTATAACCTAGTAGCATTCATCCAAATATTTGTTGAGCATATACAATGTGCTAGGCATTGGTCCAGAGTGGGGATACAGCAGTGAATAAAAAACCCCTACAAAATTTACATTTAGGTAGGAAAATGTAGACAGTGAATAATCACATAATTAAAACTAATAGAATGTCAGTTTATATGAAGTACTATGAAGAAAAATAAATCAGGAATGTGGGGATAGTGAATGTAAGAAATGCAAGCTCCAATTTTAAAAGTGGTGGTCATAGAAGAACTTACCAAAAAGGCGAATTTTATGTAAATCCTCGAAGCTGATGACAAGGTAGCCATCAAAATATCTAGTAGAATGTCACTGGAGGCAGAGGAAGCAAGAAGCGGAAAAGCCTGTGTGGATGGAGTTAGAGTAAACAAAATTAGCGGAATTAGAAAGAGAAAATAAGCAGCTATATTATTGATATCTTACAGGCCACTATATGGAATTTTTTTCTACTGAGTGAAATGGCAAGCCATATAATGGGTTTGGAGCAAAAGACTGACAGGGTTATTGTTTTGGAAATTAAATAAATCACGGAAATGACTATTTTGTGATAGGACATTATTCAAACACTCAGATTACTTTGTCTAGTTAGATAATGCTTAAGTAGTTCTCACTATTTGCCAGCTTCTATATCTTAAAAAATTTTACCCAGGACTATGATGGTATTCATAATTCTATTTGCCAGGTCCCATAATGCTTAAAACTTTTCAACCAGGAAGGTGATGATATTAATAGTTATTTTCATATAATGGATTATAGAACATTATAGATAATTTTGGGTTCAGTTTTTCATATAAAATACTTAATATATAAATTATAGAGTGCCTAACATGTGCCAAATAACCATAGCATGAATAATAAGGGTCTTACATGCATATATACACATTTAAATTTATAAAAGGTAAATGTACTTCTGTATTTGCTCATAATACAATGGAGTTTTAAAAATAACTTTTACTTTTCTTTACAATTAACTAATACGTGTTTGTTACTCATCCATGTATTTTTAAACCCTATAATCTCATGCTGTTGGATAGATTGTCAGTATCTTTGATGTTAATATTCTACTACCTTATTTCTAAACACTGCATAAAATTGAATGAAACTGAATTGTATCAATTCATTACAGTTGTTAATCAGTCACCTTTTGTAGGAAATTTATGTTAGTACCTTTTTATTTTTTCACAAAGAACTTTGGAATGAGCCATATCTTAGGTTACTTTTGCATATAGCATAGTTGTTCTCTTAAGATGACAATATCAGAAATGAAGTTCTTAGGTCAAAGAAAATGCACACATTTAAAGTTTGGCTATATATTGCTGAACTGCTCTACCTATATACTGTACCAAGTGTTTACTCATTTTGAATATTATGAATCTGTTAATTTTATTACACTTTAATCACTCCCTAAAATATTTTTGCCAGTCTAATAGGTGAAAAAGCATATCTCACTTAATTGGCATTTCTTTGACTACTGCTTTGGTTGATAAAATTTTACTTATTTATTTATTTATTTATTTATTTATTTATTTATTTATTTATTTAAACCACTTGTACTCTGAAGGGGAAAGGAATTGCCCATTAAGGCCTCTTTATTAAAAAAATTTTTTTGCTTTTATTCTTTCTATACCCTCTGTCATAGTTAGAATAATAATAAATACTTGCTTCCTACATATTTATGTGCCTCCTATTACTAGGTACTGTGTTAGGCATGGAGCATAATAGGATAAGGCACACTCAAAATCACCAAGGACCTTACAGTCTAGGGAAGGTGGGGATCATGAAAACAAACTACAAGAACAGCATGTCATTTATTATTCAGATGATTAAAAATGTATCATTATAGTTTTATGTTGGAAAACAGAAATAGAGACATGACACTGATCAAGAAAGAAGTCTTTTTGGGGTGCAGGTTTTTCTTTCCAGATTGATTAAAAACAGAGGGTTCTGCTTCGTAAATGTAACAAAATATTAAATAACAATGTCATTGATCTATAGTAGAAAATTCACTATTTTAGTTTCCAATGACAAGAATGATTACTACCCTGGCTAGCATGTGGAGGAAATAATGGAGCCCATCCCCAGAAATCGCTTGCCTTGGTGGATTTTAAAACATTCACCCAAGTGAATATATGAATATGCATTACACATACACTGCAATCAGAGTGATACTTCAAAAATACATATTTGATCATGTCATTCCTCTGTTTTAAAAAAAAAAAAAAACTTCCATGGCTTCCCAATACTTATAGGATAAAATCCAAAATCCTAAACTAAGGCTTAAACACTGTATGGCAACATTTTGGGTCAAGCACAGCAAGTATTCACTGCCTCAGCTCCACCTATCAGAGCTTCTTTTCCCTTCTATCAGGACACCTCTGGCCTAGAAGCCTTTGCACAGGTTACTTTCTTGCCTGGAATTATTTTGATCTCTTCCTTTTTGCCTTCTTAACTTTGTCTCTTAGATCTTAGCAGCAAGGGCATTTCCTCAAGAAGTCCTTCACTGATTTCCCAGGTCTGTCTTCTAGAACAGTCGTCTATTTTTCCTTGATATTGTTACTGACAGTAGATATTATATTATTGTATGATTACTTGACAAATGTTCACCTCCCTAATTCATCTTAAAGCTGCCTGAGCACAGAGCTCACTTCTAATTAGCTTACCATGGTGTCTCTGATGTTTTGTTGTTGTTGTTGTTGTTGTTGTTGTTGTTGCTGTTATAACTAGTGCATATGGGAACACAGTTATTTGTGATATGAATAAATGTATGAACAAATACAGAAATATTTCAGCACACTGAAATAAATAAGACTTTATTATATGAGTCAATTTTTTATGTTCAGACATGTGGATAATTAAGTACATTTTACATGCAACATATTCTATCTGTTAAGTAACTTACAGTGGTGAAAATACAGCTTAGTCCTCTCAGTAGTGGACTCTGAGATAGCAATGTACATGCAGGAAGTTTATTAGGAAGCACTATCTGGATGAAGACTTTGGAGGGTAGGAGATGAAGCAAGGTGGACAGAAGGAGAAATTGAACTCTATTGCAATCCCAACAGATGTCTCAGAGGATCCCTGAAGGGATCTCTAAAGTTAGGATGGCCCTCAAAGATGTCTTGAATAGAAGCAAGTGCCAGGCCTTTATGGACCCACATCAGTCCTCATTGGATATCTACTACCCTGTGCAGAGGCATAATCTGCAGGTGAATGGCTTTTTTGTCAGGGACAATTTCCAAAGAGGGACCCAGCAGAGATCTGTCGGCCACCAACACTCCTAGCAGCTGTGGGAATTAGTATCTGAGTCCTGAGTGGATTGGGAGGAAGGATGAGATCTGTGAGGCACATCACTGGTATCCACTACAGATGACCAAAAGGAACAATAGTGAGTAATTTAAAGCAAGGTTCTGTCTCAATCCCCAATACAAATATACTTGAAACTATGAAATAATACAATTCCAGCAAGAAAACAAATTGAAAACTTTAAATGACAGTTGCTAGAATTACAGTGACTTTTGATGAGAGAAAAACAAGTCCAAAGAAAAGGCTTCAAGGTAATGAGGTAATTATTCATTCTAGAGGATATATTTTCCCCCACTTTAAGTCAGATAATGCTATCAACCTCCTATTCACACTGCATTTCACCCAAAATCATTCATGGTCAATCACAGACCAATAACTTTTTTGTAGAATATGAGCACCAGAGGGCATATCTTTACATTTTTAATATTTAACTAACATTACATGGCATTTTACAATTTACAAAATAACATGCATCTTGACATTTAACTCTCATAACCCCATTCATGTTTAAACCACTTACTCAAAATCAGTACACGACAGTGTGTGTTTTAGGCTAGTGGCTTAAGGTTTGTGATAATAAGGGCAATGTCTTTAATATGTGCTGAGGTATCACTAAATGCCTGTCACGGTGCTTGAAGCAACAGCACTCAATAAATAACTATTGAATAAACTTCTGAGAGGGATTAGTAGTTTCGGTGCTACCTGTGCTTTTTTATGGCATTATATATATGCACATATATAATATATATGTAGCATCCATGTGTACGTGAGTGTGTGCTTATAAAGGACACATAGTATATGTAGTTGAATAAATTATACCAGGTTTATTACATATAATATGAACTAATATATACATTAGGGTCTTTTTGAGTAGGAATACTAGAGGTTTTTGGACCCAACTGATTTTTAGTCATTATCCTCTTGGTCAGTTTGGATAGGAGTTAATCTGGCCTTAGAAAGTCAGATGGGGGGTGCCTAGGTGGCGCAGTCGGTTAAGTGTCCGACTTCAGCCAGGTCACGATCCCACGGTCCGTGAGTTCGAGCCCCGCGTCAGGCTCTGGGCTGATGGCTCAGAGCCTGGAGCCTGTTTCCAATTCTGTGTCTCCCTCTCTCTCTGCCCCTCCCCCGTTCATGCTCTGTCTCTCTCTGTCCCAAAAATAAATAAACGTTGAAAAAAAAATTAAAAAAAAAAAAAAAAAAGAAAGTCAGATGGGGTAAAATAAGTCTCATGATTAAAGTCTCACTTTTTGGGAGAAAAGCACTTTCCAAGGAATGTCTGGAAAAAAAAAAAAGCTTAATGCTAGACTACAAGGGGAAAAAGAAAGCATATGGAAATCTGCATTTTTATTGTGTTTCTAAATTTGTGGTACTGTATAACTTTTCAGCAATGAAAGATGACTCATAAGTTTTCCTTCTGATTATAGTAATAATAATCATCATAATAATATTCATTCATGTAATGTAAACTATTAGGCTGAAATGCATTTTGGTGAATTTGTACACTATTAGATGAGCTATTTCTCCAAAGCCTACAAAAAAATTAATGTGGAACACCTGATATTTGACTGTGCTTCCAGATGGAGGGACAGCTTGACAAATGCCATCATAATTTACAACTTTTAAAAAGTGTGGTGTGAATGCATTTGCAGTAAGCTTTAAACAGCTTGGATTATTTACAGGTACAACTGTGTTTAATGTGGAATTTCAATGGATTTAAAATATTATTAGATCAATCACTGATCACAGAATATAGGTGTGGCATGTGAGCAATATTATTAAATGCTTTAATTAAATATCTTAGAACAGGGTACATCTGTTTGGGGAGGTTGGGGGGTGATAAAAAAGCATTTGAATTTTGAATTTTGTATTTGATTACTGAGTGTCACTGAAGAAGCTCTCAGCCTTGGAAAGACAGCTATTTTGAACTTATCCTATGGTGGGTTAAGAGAATAATAATTACAAAAAGCAAATATGGAAATAAAGTGTCTAACTCGTAATGATAACTTGGATACTTATACCCATAAAACAACTAAAATATGGATTGCTAACTGATAAGACTTGCAGTAGAGTGCAATCTAAAAAAGCATATAAGTGTCTGTCTCTGGTGGTTAGAAATTGACTATGGAAGCTCTCAGGTTAAATTGGAGAAGGGGTTATATATGATATAATTATATATATGCATATATATATATATATCTCATTCATATTATAAATATGTTACCTATATATGCATGCATTTACCTTTTTTCTTTCCTAAACATATGTGTCTGTATGTACAGACACATATCAATATTACATACATTGTAATAGTATCATTATACATAATATATATATTATTCATATATTATAATTTATGTACATTATATGATATCCCCAGGAGGACACAGATGACTTTGGAGGTAGCTAAGGTATGGTTGTAGGAAGATTCAGGAACATCTGACTTTGGAACATTATTTCATGAAAAGCAAAGTAGTTTGACACATTTTAAGTAGAAATTCATTGACATATATTGTGATTTACTTCTCAGGAGTAAGTGGGAGATTGAGAAGAATACATGGTAAAGTGAAACTGAAGTTTCTGAAATGAACTGTTTAATGCATAAACCAACTTCAGGATCTACTATGTTCATTCACTCACCAATTATTCTTGGTCTCTTATGCTTCAGTCCTGGTCTAGGAGCTGACTATCCACTAGACAACAAGGTTTCTTTTCCTGAAGCTTACATTCTAAATGGAAGACAGATATTAAACAAGTCACACTTAAATAAATATGCAAATAAAATTTGATCAGGCTATGACAAAAGTAGGATGTCATAAAAGAGACTGGGGTGGGTCTAATCTTGTTCATTGGGATAGTTCAGGGAAGCCCTCCCTGAGACCTAAAGGATGCTTAGAATGGGAAGAGTCCCCCAAGTGGAGGACGTGTGTAAAGGGAGGAGAAATGGTTGGAAGAAGGGAAGATTACTTCGTGAATGGTACATAAAGAGTCATGGCAAAAATGGCTATAGGTGAGGTTGGAGAAGGGCAGGGCGGGTTATTAAGATGTCACTAGGAAGTTTGTATTTACTGAGTGCAATGCAAACCACTGAAGGATTTATTCATTCTGTTTGTGTGTGCGTGTGTGTGATGAGTCAATTAATACTTTTAAAAACTCAGTCTAGAGTGGAGAGGGGTAAGGTATGAGTAGAAGAGTGGAATACCACTGGACCTTGGTGGATGGAGTGAAGGTGGAGAAATGAAGACACATTCCAAGATCCTTTAGGAGGTCGAAGTTTGAGAGCTTGGGGATGAATAAAATGTTTGAGAAAACATGATTTTACAGTTTCTATGTAACTTTCTAGTTTTTCTTAGCAGTACAATTTGATTCAAGAAAATGTATCCATTCTCTGTCTAGTAAATTCCAGGCTCTGGAAGGTAATCTAATGGTTTGTTTAAAGAAGTCTTCCCAAATCACTCAAGGTAGTGAGCATTTACACCCCAGTTACCCTTTTCCATTTCTCTTATCTTCTAAGCAGACATCACTGTTTCTTACTATTTTGCTACTTGCTTACTAGGAGTATAATCGTGAGAGTGAGGTATTTCTCACTCTAGAAATATAATCTAGAAGACGGATTATATCCAGAGTACCTAACAATGGGTACATTGGAACTGTTCAATAAATATTTGTTGAATGAAATGATGAATGAACTAATGAAAGAATAACGATATGGAGGAAATACTTGAATCCAAGGTGCTCACAATCTAGCCAAGAGGATTAAGAAGTAAGCAGGTAGCGTTATGGGAGAAGAGAGGAGGAGGATGTATTTATCTAACCGGGAGAACAGAGGGAGGTCTGGAGACAGATATAATCAAAGATGAATGTTTTCTGGATTGAGACCATCTCTCAATGGAAATCACTCCCGTCTCTCCAGCAAGCTCTATAACAAAACATAAAGCACTCTTCAAAGGAGCTTCACATTTTAGAAATATATATCTACATATATTTAAGGAGTCGTTAGAATGGATTGTCCTGCAAAGATACAACCTTGATTTTGTACCACCTACAGCACTTACAGCACTTATTACTTGCCACTTCTGGCTGTAGAAATTTTGCTCCTCTCCCTCCCTGGGTCTCTGATAACCCTGTCTCCGCTCGCTCGTACTCCCGGGTTTTGTCCACTGTCGGAAGACCTGCGCCCTTGCCTTCTCCCGCCTTCTGATAGATGAATAGAGGAACGTTTACTACCTCATCCCTGAGGAGTTCCAGAAGATGCAGCTGCCCATAAGCTAACGTTTCTGCACCTTGCGGGATTCGTGAGGAAGCAAAAGAAAAGGAGCAATTTGTTACTTAGAGCGCCAATTGCCTTTACCTTTAATCCTGTGGGTCTCTAACATCTGGCCCCAGCCTACCAAGCTCAGGCTTTAACAGTTTACAGAGCAAAGGTCAGTCCCGGGTGCGAGTGCTCTCTCCCTCCCTTCCTTCCGCCTGTGGAAGGAAAACAAGCCGCCAGCGTGGGGGATGGGCCGGGCTGCTTTCCCCGTGGTTCCACGGGCAGTGCGGGGCGCCTGGAGCCGCGAGGCCGAGCCCGCAGCCCCGCCCCAGGGGCGTGGCCTCCCAGCGCCAGCCCCGCCCCCGCGCCGCGGACCCTCCGCTTCCTATTTACTCGGTAGCTTCGGCTTCCCGTCACTTCGCTTTCTGACTGGAGCTTGAGGACGCTAGGAGGGTCTGTCACTAGGAGACTTCAGGCTGTAAACACTGCCATGGCCCCTGTGCTTAGCAAGGACTCGGCGGACATTGAGGTACCGACTGCGCGCCGGGTCGCCAAGGGCGGGAGGTGGGGGCCCAGCCGGTGGGTGCTGGGGAGGCCGCGGCAGTCGCTCGGGAAAGAGTGGGAGACCGGGGAAACTTTGCCTCCGTGGGAGGCCTGCGGGGGAGGTGGAGGAGCAGGGAGCCAGAACATGGGCACGGGCAGCGGGGGACAGAAGTGGAAGGGTCCCGCGACTGGAGGGGGTGCCTTTTGGGTTGGGACCTGGCTGTTTACTTCGGAGGGGATTAAGGAAGCCTGTCTTGTCTTGCCCTGAATGGTATGACTAAGAAGCACAAGAGTTCCAGTGAGGTGGACTCTGGAGGATAGGAGCTCCCATTTCCCACCCCGTCTACCCAGGCACTTTCCCCTTTCTCCACCCCTATGCATTTCAGGGCACCTGTTTGCTGCCCCCACCTCCAATTGCTGAATTCTAAATATATGCAAAGGTGAGCTATAGAAATAAAGGAGATCTGTGTGTCAGCTATTCTAGCAGTCCCTGCTAGCCATAGTAATGCTTCAATGCTTATGAAATTATTTAACATAGGGAGGAATGGAACAAACTATTGAGAACACGAAAAATGCAGTGCTATCAGAAAAACATAAACAAGCTGTATTTTTCTCTCCTCTCAAGAGTTTTTGATTCTCTCTTCCACTCTGTTTCTGTAACAATTTCATCTTTCTTCCTGTGAATAAGGTCCTACCTGAAATGACATGACCGTTTCCTTTAAATTCTTCCTAAGACCTTTGTGTTTGACATGGGAAGGATTTAATTTTAAACAGTGATTTTTAGACATACCCAATTCAGCGTTTGTGAGCTAAGATAAACTGCTTTTTCATATTTTGTTGTGTTTTGTTTAAGGCTTTTCTTTATTTGAGTCTCCCTGTCCGATAAAATGTGTATATGTGTGTACGTGTATGTTTTCTCTGTCTTTTTTTTTTTATAAATGACAAATTTTTCTTTCCTCAGTCCTTTTCAGTGGCTTAAATAAAAGTTTAAAACCACCTGTTTGCAGAATAGCTGCTGATGCCACATTTTTCCTCTGTCATTGAAGTAACTTTGTGTTCTGTTGGGAGATGGTAGTAATGTTTTCTTCCAACTCCATACATTGGTTTGGGAAAAATCCATTTTAGTAATAAGAGTCAAATTATATTGTAGTGACCTCTCTGGTTAATTTACTTGTGGTTTCTCTTGTGGATAGTTTACTATTTCATATTGATCAGTAAGATATATTTAACCCAATATTTATTCATGTGTGCACAAGGTGAAGGATACTCGATTTATGTCACTGTCAAAGCCCTTTTTGGTCCTTATTACTTTGATTTAACCAAATCATTTTTTTTAAACTAAGCTAAATAGCAAACTTTTGACAGCATTCAGGCAGTACTGATTTTAGAGAGGAGAGTGTCAGGGGGCAGGTGGCCTTTGGCTTTTAGAATGGTATGTTATTTGCTTAACTGATTTCTTTCTCTGTATTTCTCTTGCAATTGTCTTGGAAATCAGTTCTTAACCACAGAACACTAAGGAAAAGATGCCAGTGAAACATTAAATTACTAGCTTAATCTCATATGTTGTTTGAACTAAGACCCGTTTGAGAAGTCCACGCCCTTACACTCACCTCAGTCTAACCTTAGTCTGTGGGGTTAATCTGCCTGATATTACTTACAATTTAGAACAGTGGTATTCAAGCCTTTTCAGGTTTTATGTAGTTCATATATGCAGCACATTTTAATCAGTAACCACTTTCATTATACATAGTATCTTCCTTTTCTCTCAAAGTAATAACCTGTGATTCATGAGTTATAGTACCACCAGAGAGCATGAAATTAATCATTAAAATATAATGCAGTGAAGAAAAATACATTAAGCCTAAAGGAACACATTTAAGCATAGATGTCTCAGTTGATCCTGTTGATTCACCAAAGTTCATTTTTGTTTGAAGAATCAGAATGAATGATGAAAGCTCAGTTTTCTATCAAATTTGAATGCGTACATTGGGTTTCCTTTCCTTGAATGAATTCCTTAAGACCATTGTCTAGAGACTGATCTGACTGTGACCATTGCTTTAGTCTCAAGAACATGGAGTAATCTTTAAAAAAAATCAGTATGGAACAAAATACAGGTTCACTTGATAAATGTGAAAAGAACAGAAGGTGATGGTGACAACCCACTATAATAGTGATTTAACTTTCCCCATAAGCTACCTACAGAATCTCAGGTTTCAGTGAGGCAGCCAAGAAATATCTCTATTTCTGAAGAAAAAAAGTTACTGAGGTAAAGTTGCCTTGTGTGTTCACTCCATAATGTCTAGCCTTAATTAAGTATCACATCAGGGTTTGAAGGATTGGGAGCATAAAAAACAATCAGAATGTCACCAAACCCCAAAAATGGAATATTTCAGGCTGAAAGATAAAGCACAACAATGATGCATTAGTAAGTAATAGACATTAGGCGATAGAACCTAGCTCATATACTCAAAAATTGTTGTCACTATGGTAATTGTAGAAGCAGCATGAGAAGTGAAGTTGTTTTGTTTTGTTTTGTTTTCCCTGATACATAAATGTGATTCAGACCCTGGGATCTGGAGCTAACTGGGTTGAAGTCTAGTTTAGTTCTTTTAAACTGTGACTTTAGGAAGGTTACTTAGCTTCTCTGAGTCATATTTTCATAACCTGTTAAATAAGGAAAATTATAATAGGAAATATAATAAATGTCACAAGTTGACATATTCTTGTTAGGAAAAAGGACAAATGTTAAAAAATAAAAGTATGAACAAATATCTTAGGAAAATTCCTGCCAATGAAATAATTAGTATTCTAAAATCATTAACGGTAGCTATGTGCTTTTGAAAGTCATCTTACTTTATGGGATTACATTTTGGACAAAGCTGAATTTTGTCAAGGATAGCTTTTGAATACAAATTCTCCTGGGAAGATTTGAGAGAAGGTGAATACCCAATCCTGGTCACTTACCCTGACTTCAGTGGTACCTTCACAGTACTTCATTTAGTTTGAATTGATAACCAGTATAATGCCAATATCTGTTCATTTAAAAGCAAGTAAGAATAATTTTAGAAAAGTGTAATTTTGTTCAGTGTCCTGTTCCTCTCCACTGACATGGATAATTAAGAGTAGACTATAGAAGTATAATTAAAAGAAAATGTATGGGGGCGCCTGGGTGGCGCAGTCGGTTGAGCGTCCGACTTCAGCCAGGTCACGATCTCGCGGCCCGTGAGTTCGAGCCCCGCGTCAGGCTCTGGGCTGATGGCTCGGAGCCTGGAGCCTGTTTCCGATTCTGTGTCTCCCTCTCTCTCTCTGCCCCTCCCCCGTTCATGCTCTGTCTCTCTCTGTCCCAAAGATAAATAGAGACGTTGAAAAAAAAATAAAAAAAAAAAAAAGAAGAACGATCATTTAAAGTCACAATTAGCAGCCCCTCTATTAAAAAAAAAAAAAAAAAAAGAAAATGTATGCAGCTACAGGAAACCTTTAACTTTCTGAATAATAGTAATTTTGGTAAATATTTACAGCCAAACTCAAATGCTACCTACCACTCTAATGCTTTCACAATCACAAGTCAACGTCCATTCCTTGAATTATCAGTTAGTGAGTGTTTCACATTTACCCTGAATCAGAAAGGGATTTCAGTCCATTGTCTACAGAATCATAGTGCATTTCAAGTCAAACAGAAACAGTTTCTGAATTACTTATACTCTAGCTTCCATTCATTTGAGAATTTTCTATGCTTATTAATTAAGAAAATAAGTTACTAAAATCATGGACTTGGAAAATGGGAAGATAAAGGAAACAACTGGGAGAAAAGTACATTTTTAAGGAGCATTTTGAAAAAAGGGAAGGCAGGGGTTATGAATTAATTGGTAGAGGTGGGAGAAAATATTTCAGAATACCCTCTATCATAACTGTTTTTGTCTCTGGGAAGGGGAAGGGTTATGGATCCAAAGGAGAGAATAAAGATTCAACTTTGCAGAAGCTATGGATTATTTATTTATTTATTTATTTATTTATTTATTTAAACTTTTATGTTTTTTTTATTCAGTGTATAAATGACAGTTCTTTCTTGTCTCCTTTCTTTTACTGATTAGGCACCGCCAATCTAAGGAAATGCTATCTCGACTTGCTAAAGCTTTTAATTTTTTTTAAAGTTTTTAAATTTTAAACCTGTTCTGTGAGTCTGAATTGTTAAAAATATGCTTGTCCTCCCTATTTTAAACTGTCCTGTGGACCGTACTCAAAGTATTTCTCCTTTCTAAGAAATTAAGCTGGGCAGTAAAAATGTGTCTGATTGTGTGATTTGGGAAGTTACTTCATTCCAAATGATAGCTCCTTGTAGTTTTTTTTTTTAAAGGAGAGAATAAATTTATTATTATTATTATTATTATTATTAATAACATATGAAATTTATTGTCAAATTGGTTTCCATACAACACCCCATGCTCATCCCAAAAGATGCCCTCTTCAATGCCCATCACCTACCCTCCCCTCCCTCCCACCCCCCATCAACCCTCAGTTTGTTCTCAGTTTTTAAGAGTTTCTTAGGCTTTGGCTCTCAGCTCTTTGTAGTTTTAAGGTGTATTTCTAGAGTTAAGCATGGCCAGATGTATATACCTCAGTATAGTTTTTTAAAAGAAATTAGACCTCCTGCACATGAATTCAGTGACCAATTTAGTAGTTTAATTAAAAACTGAGATTAATGACTAATGACGATTCTATCACTAGGGAATTTTTTACGTTGGATCTGCTTAATCATAGCAGATAGTGTTGTAAAAATATGTTGGAATTCAGTAGCCTTCTTT